AATTCATTTTAGGAAAAAATTATACAGTTACACTGACAGGAATCTGACCCCAACTAGGTTTGTAGGCTGATTCAGTTTAACGTAGATGACCTTAAGTGACAGGGCTTAAAGAGCACCAAGACTTACTTTTTTCCAATTTCTTGTCAGAAGTCATGTGATGAAAACTGCTGACATACAAAATGCAGGAGCTATGAATAATAAAAAGTGTGGGATGTGATGTACTGCATCATGACACACCTTACACAACCTTAGGAAAACAAATAGTATTTTTGTTGCAGTTCTTCATCTCAATATCACAGTAACAAATATTTCAACCTGAAGCTGAGGATCACGAGAAAACAACCATCACATAACTACTGTGATATATTTTACTACCTGCACATATTAAAAAGTCTGAAAAGAAATACAAATTGAGAAAACAATTGTTATTTTATTCAAATGCAATCTACTATGTCTAGGAAAAAAAATAACAAGTGTCAATACTTATTAAGCAACTATAAAACAAATAGCTGAGTATGTTAATGTACAAATAAATACATACAATGGTCATCTTTACTAACAACAATCTCTTGTAAATGGTGACCTATATTTGTTGTTTGGCTGGAACAAAGTCCATCTCAGGCTTGTTGGGTTGACGCTCACTGACATATTATTCTATTTACTGTAAATTCAGAAAGTTTTATATAAATGGAAATAATGCGACTGGGTTATTATCACAATAATAAGAACCCACATTCTAGTATATAATACATGGATCTGTATTAATTTTTTGAGCTCACCTGGCCCAAAGGGCCAAGTGAGCTTTTCTCATCACTTGGCGTCCGTCGTCCGTCGTCGTCGTCGTTAACTTTTACATTTTGAACTTTTTCTAGAGAACCACTGAATGGAATGAAACCAAACATGGCATGATTGTTCCTTATGAAGTGCTGACTAAGTGTTGTTACTTTGAAGCCGATCCATCATCCAAGATGGCCGCCAACAGGGGAATTAGTTTAACATAGGACCCTACGGGAAATATTTACAAATGTCTTCTTTTAGAGAACCACTTAATGGAATGAAACCAAACATGGCATGAATGTTTCTTATGAGGTGCTGACCAAGTGTTGTTACTTTGAAGCCGATCCATCATCCAAGATGGCCGCCAGCAGGGGACTTCCTTTAACATAAGACCCTATTGGAAATACATACAAATGCTTCTTTTGAGGTGCACTGAATTGAATAAAACCAAACATGGCATAAATCTTTCTTATGAGGTGCTGATGAAGTGTTGCTACTTTATTGCTGATTTACTGTTCAAGATGGCCACCAGGATTTTTTTATTAATTACAGGGCCAATATTAAACCAAATTTGGCCTCACTCATAATTAGGGTATCTGTTATGATTTTAATCTATTTTAACATGATTTCCAAAACCAAAATAGAATCAGGTGAGCGACACAGGCTCTTTAGAGCCTCTAGTTTGAATCACAATAATTAATATCACATTTTTTGTCCATTCTTCAAAATTTACAATAATAAATGCCATATACAAGTATAAACTTCTGAATTTACAATATAAAATTTAAAAACTGCATGACCCACAGATTATAATTATCAATATAAAGAAAGAAGATGTGGTATAATTGCCAATGAGACAACTCTCCACAAGAAACCAAATGACACAGAAATTAACAACTATTGGTCACCGTATGGCCTTCAACAATAAGCAAAACCCATACCGCATAGTCATAAAAGGCCCCGAAACGACAAATGTAAATTAATTCAAACGAGAAAACTAACGGCCTAATTTATGTACAAAAATGAACGAAAAACAAATATGTAACACATCAACAAACGACAACCACTGAATTTCAGGCTCCTGACTTGGGACAAGCACATATCAAGTTGGTTTATATTAATCTGAAGATTTTATGAAGTTTACAGATGAATAGATACCAAGTCATTTAAATATCTCACTTGCACATTGGTTCAGGTCATTTATAATGATATTTTGTAGCTATATCATGTATATACATGTAGGATAAATTTTACTTTTCTCTTGCAAGCATATATACATAGCTGACTATGCGGTATGGGCTTTGTTCATTGTTGAAGGCCGTATGGTAACCTATAGCTGTTAATTTCTGTGTCAATTAGTCTCTTGTGGAGAGTTGTTTCATTGACAATCATACTACATCTTCTTTTTTAGCTTCATGCCAGGTGAGCTATTCTCATCACTTGTCTTGGCGTCCGTCCTCAGTCATCGTCGTTAACTTTTTACAATTTGAACTTCTTCTAGAGAACCACTGAATGGAATGGAATTAAACATGGCATGAATGTTCCTTATGAAGTGCCGACCAAGTGTTGTTACTTTGAATCCGATCAATTATCCAAGATGGCCGCCAGCGGGGGACTTAGTTTAACATAGGACCCTATGGGAAATACATACAAATGACTTCTTTTAGAGAACCACTGAATGGAATGAAACCAAACATGGCATGAATGTTCCCTATGAGGTGCTGACTAAGTGATGTAACGTTGAAGCTGATCCATCATCAAGATGGCCACCAGCGGGGGACTTAGCTTAACATAGGACCCTACGGGAAATACATACAAATGTCTTATTTTAGAGAACCACTTAATGGAATGAAACCAAACATGGCATGAATGTTTCTTATGAGGTATTGACCAAGTGTTGTAAATTTAAAGCCGATCCATCATCCAAGATGGCCACCAGCGGGGGACTTTTTTTAACATAGGACCCTAAGGGAAATACATACAAATGCCTTCTTTTAGAGAACCACTGAATGGAATGAAACCAAACATGGCATAAATGTTCCCTATGATTGTACTGATGAAGTGTTGCTACTTTGTTGCCGATTTACTGTTCAAAATGGCCACACAGATTTTTTTTATTAAATTACAGGGCCAATATTAAACCAAATTTGGCCTCAATCCTTATTTGGGTATCTGCTATGATTTTTATCTATTTTTACATGTTTTCCAAAACCAAAGTAGATTCAGGTGAGCGACACAGGCTTTTGAGAGCCTCTAGTTATATATATCCATGTACATGAGGTATGTCCAGAATTTTTTGGGGGAATGTATATATGTACGTACCAAACTAGATTTACTAGATGATAATAAATAGTTTTAAAGCAAATTACATTCCATTAATTTAATGGTGTTGTTAAATGTATCCTTGTTTGAGTGAAGATTTGGCAAACAGGATGAACTACATATATTTTATTTAAAATAAGTTCCAATGTTCAAATGTGAAATAAATCAATATATTGCTATGGTGTCCTCACAAAATCAGTTCATGTCTCTACAGTTCACCAGATAGTAGTTGTATATATATGTTCAGTGTTTATGACATATCTGTTGCTTCTTTCTATACTAGAACTTGTAACTGATTTACTATAATGAAAAGGACTGCCCATTTCTTCAACATTGCTTTAATGATCTATAATGTTGCAGATGAATGTTCCAAATGCTTCACATTCTTTCTGTGATCCGGGTGATGTAAAATAAATTCTCACCTGTAATATTAAAAAAGAGTAAACAGTTTGAGAAGTGTTTTTCTTAGGGCAATAATTATAGGTTTCATTGAAATTCAAATTATATACATGTAATGATATATGTATGAATCTGGATTCATACATATATCATTACATGTATGAATCTGGATTGGGGAGGGGGTTCAATCTGATTATCATTTCCATATTCTTTATTTTTTTATATCATTTTTCTGTTTTTCTCTGTTCTTTATTTATTGTGTCAATTCTTCTCTGTACTTTATATTTTTCAACCCATTATTCTCTATTCTGTATTGTGACAAATTGTGTTAGCCTACTTTTATAAATTGGCCCGTTATCTGTGTTTCTATAGGCATAGGTAAAACGACACATACATGACATACTATCGAGAGTGTCTGACATGTCAATATCTTTTCAAAGAAATACTTATGTTTCTTAGTTCATAATAAAATTATTCTTCTGGTAATGAAAATTTCTATTGGATGGCATCTGCTTCAGAACATCCTTGTTCATTGCCCCGTTTGTTTGTTTACCAATATTTTTGTACTTACCATTGCGAATAAAAATAGACATGGGTTGTATCATTGTGTTCAAATATCCACCAATAAGTATATTTGAATGCCCGTGGAGACAGCAACAAAGAAATAAACATTGCAAATGCAAGTTTTCGCCGCATGTTGACGAAGATCAACCTAAAAATTGAAACACTCACGTAACCACCGTTATACAGAGGTGTCACTTGGCGTACTAAATTCCGTGAATGAAAACCATTATTATCAACGTACTTTAAATATTTAATGACGTCATAAAATGCTTAACGTTAGTAGGGAGAAACTATTTTTTTTATCCAAGTATTAGTTTTCATTCAGACATTTTAACACGAGCCAAAGCGGACAAAGATGATTTTCTAATATTAAAAAAGGATTTTCTAATATTAAGAAATCATTTTCTAATATTAAAAAATAACTTTTTAATATTAAAAAGTACCGTATTTTTTAATATTAAAAAATGATTTTCTAATATTAAAAAAAGCTCTTTTTGTCCACTTTGGCTTGCCATACAGGAGTACATAACGTTAACCGTTATTTGAATCCATAATGCTCTCCAACTTAGTACTTTATTTGGACGATAAACTGTTATTGATACGAGCGTCGCTAATTAGTAATGTAGCCTCTGGCGTAAATAATTTTAATCCTGGTATCTAAAATGAAGTGGCACAGTAAATGACATCAGATCCAATTTAAACATATTACAAATGATATTCAGGCATTGCAAATTATTACTGAACGGGTACATTCAGGTTTTATATGTTATTTGAGGTAATATGTTAACCCCCGTCCCACGACTGACGTATCTATACTTTTCATTTCAACTCTGCATTTTGGATAAAAATTAAACGAGAAGATAGTATGGAAATTTGTGAACGATCATTTATTTAAAAACTAAATTATATGTAAAGTTTATAATCTCTTTGCATTTCAGTAAGTGCTTGTGACAGTAATCCTTGTCAAAATGAAGGAACATGTAAAGTGTCAGGAGACAGTTACATTTGCAGTTGTTTATCCGGATATTTCGGTCGACAGTGTGAAGGTAAATATACATGTACATGCACCGGGATTCATACGGAGTAGATATCAAACTCATAATACAAAACTGTTATACTTATATGAGTAAAAAAAGATAAAATGTAAACAATAAAAATGACGAACAAGGCAAGATCTACAAATAGGTCATCGTTGGCAAAATCGTCAGTTCACTTCTACCGGAGATTTTGCCCTTAAATGAAGATTCTTAACCTCTTTTGATTTTGTCAAAAATTATAGACAATGCAGAGAAATTGTACACAATAAAATTGATAAGTAAGACACAATGAACAAAAAAGATATTTTGGTCATGAACTATATTCTAGTTTTCAATATTGAATAGTGACCATTGTTGAAAATGCACATAGTTCCATGTTAGTCTCTAGTTTTTTAAATAATGACAGTGTCAAGATAAAATTCCGAGGGATAAAAAATGCACTGCTTTCAATGAACATTCTTTGCATTCTTGATTTTTCTACTATTCTAATCGTTCAGCTTAATATAAATTTCAATTTTTCCATATATATCATATAAAAAATTCAAAAACATCTTTTTCCCACCAACAATTTTCATTCTTTATATGCTTATATATAAAAAAGAAAATAGCACACCGACTCTTTATTTAAAAAAAAAAAAGTTCGGTTGAATGATTGTGGTTTAACGCAGGTTATAACACTAAGCGAGATAATATTGTTAGTTGCACAAAACATATGTAATGTTCAGTAGTTGTTGTTTGTTGATGTGGTTCATAAGTGTTTCTCGTTTCTCATTTTTTATACAGATTAGACCGTAGGTTTTCCCGTTTGAATGGTTTTACACTAGTCATTTTAGGAGCCCTTTATAGCTTGTTGTTAGGTGTGAGACAAGGCTCCGTGTTGAAGACCGTACTTTGACCTATAATGGTTTTCCTTTACAAATAGTGACTTGGATTGAGAGTTGTCTCATTGGCACTCATACCACATCTTCTGATATCTATAAAGAAATATTTTGTTTTGCGAAAAAATATATTAAAATTAATTTAAGCAAGTAACATTCTAATAGCAATGGTTAGCTGAACTCTCCTGCCTTTTTATTATTTTTGCAGATAGGGGATATTCCGATTACGTTATTATGTTTACAGAACCTCCAAGAAGCGAAAACATTCCTCGACTGTATATTCGTTCTTCGGAAAGCGGAACTGTCAGTGTATATTCTAAGGCTGGACTTCTCCGCACTGTTGACTTGAATTCCAGTAATACTGCAATAGACATTCCCAATTCTCTCTTTACCAAAGATGGCATTTCGAATGACGCAATCCATGTGAATTCTACTGTACCTATTGTCCTGTATGGTTTTGTTACTGATACCGCTGTTGACGGATATTTGGCCTTACCATCTACTATTCTAGGTGACAAATACATTGTCCCAACATTCAAACCATATACAAATGAGGATCTCAGGAAAAGTTTGCTCGGTGTCGTTAGCTTGGAGGAAAATACACAAGTTCAAATAAAGCTGAGAATGCCAGTCAGCAGCAAGAAGGTCAAATATAATAATCTATCGTATGGAAATGGCGAAACACTGACAATTACCTTATCGAAACTTCAAACATTGCAAATATCTCATATTTATGACCTGTCTTGTTCTATTGTTACTTCCAACAAACCAGTAGGCGTGGTTTCTGGAAACAGGTGCAATGCTATAAACCACTTTTATTGTAACGCATTCATTGAAATGGTATTACCTGTAAACCAACTTGTCCAAGAGATCATTATTCCGACGATTGCCAACAGAAACGATAGCGTTGTAAGGGTGTACTGTCATGAAGCTACTCAATTAAAAATATCAACACTCAGCCGGATTTATCTATTCAATATAGAAAAAGAACATTTTTTTTAGTTTAACAGTTCTCACTTAGCATACATAAATGCAAACGAGAGTGTTCTTGTTGTAAATTTTCCGAAAGATATCCCCAACTATGACGCCTACATGATGACAGTCCCTGGCATAAAACATTACCGATCAAACTACAATTTCACTGTTCCCGCCGGATACACCAGCTACATAAGTGTAACATATCTCGTCACAAACGTAAACACACGATACAATCCATTGGATGAATTCAAAATCGATAATCAGAAGCTGATTTTGACAAACATGTTTAACAAAACAATCAATATTTATTCCATTGCAACATTTAGTAGTGCAATTGAAGGTGGTGCCCATGAAATCCGCCATGATTTAGACTTGAAGTTTGGACTATGGATTTATGGAGAAAAGAATTTTGAAGGTTATGGTTTTCCAGGCGGAATGGCTTATATAAGTCAACCTTAACTCTTAGTCATAAGAAAACTGTTTAAATCTTTTATATTTGTGTGAAATCCACCTTTTTATCAGAGCAACATGTTTTATAAAATCGAAAAAAAAGAACGTGCAATGCCGATTTCTACACATACGCGTACGACAAGTGTGCATATTTATGAAATTACTGTTATTTGTTTTGATAGAGAAATCACATAAAACCCCTGTTCTTTTGAAATTTCCTCAAAAAGGGTTTGTCCGAAAACGTCTTATTTTTATTTTTTGATAAGGTTTATAACAATATATATACCAGAACTTGAATTGATAAATATTCCATGAATGTGACACGAATGACAAGTTATGAATTGTACTACACCATGTACACGTGACAGTGTTATTTACGCATCCCAACATGTCAGGTACTCTCGGTGTGATTAAGGCTTTTTAGCCCAATTATAAATTGGCTTATGCAGACGTTTTGGACTTTTTTCCCATTAATGTTCAAGGTCGCTACTAATTTTTCATTCCTACTGATTTAATTCGGGTGCAACTAATCAGTTTCATGTAGATAAAACGCGTGTCTGTCATGTCTGTAGTGATGACTTATAAGCCTCGTATCTTTGATGATTCATATGAACAGAAAGGCAATTTCAGATAAGGTTAATATTTCGTCCACGGTGTTATCACCAGACCAGTAACATGTGTTTTAATGGATACATGTAGAATAATGTCATGTTTATTTTGATACTGACTTTATTAGCAATAATATCAAGCGATCCCGCTAGGCCATGCATAAAATGCCATTATTCTTCTTCTCTGCAACTTTTTTAGCAATTTATTTTTTTCTAATTGAGTATATGAAAAACAAATTAAATCAGTTAGTAAAACTACTTTTACGCATACAAAACGTTATGATGTTTGTTCGGTTGTATGAATAAAGTCGCGTGCATTTTATTGATAAATTGACGTGTATGGACACGAACACGCAACCTTGCTGCACTACTAACGTTACGTGATGTCATTGCTTGATATTTTTGAGTATGAGTCCTGTCCATTTGATAGAAAAAATAGGCAGGAAAAGGGAAATGTACAATTGTCGACAAGATCAATTAACTGCTCATAAAATGTTCTAAAAACTTTCGACACACCATGGTTCTATTCCCGTGCAGAAATGGCTAAGCAAGATTTTGCACAATTTTTTTGAGTTAAGTTTTTGATTAGGCTTCTCTTCTGTTGGAATTCGAGTGTCACAGACTAGTCTAATGTAGAAATGAAATGCATGTACGCCTGGCGTCTTTAATTCTAATCATTGTATCTTTTATGAGTTTAAAAATAATTTTCCCACTTTAACTTTAAACTTGCCATAGTTGATGTCGTTATATTCATTCAGCTTATTAATTACAATGTACTTTATCAATGTTTTTTGTAATAATCACAGATTAACTTAATGTTGTAGCGTATCCATATCAATGTTGTCATTTATTTTAGATAACCTTTGCATTTCAAATGTATACAAAAACAGCCAAAAACAAACATGGAAGGTTCGATTAATTGCTACCTTTGAATTTTTCTCAACTCAAGCAGATATTTTCTAAATGTGGTGAAATCTATTGTATATTGTTATATATCAGTTGCGTACATTTAAATATAAATTAATATCGGAACTGATTGCGTATTTGTAACAATTAATCAATATCCCAAATGTACAAGTTGGGAATTTTCTGTCGTGACAAAGAGACATTGGAACAATTTTTTGTAATGACAGTTGCATATTTTCTTACAAGAAGCATAGAGGTAAGATAAATTTCGTTTTAAACTTTATGTGATGTTAGTTACAAGAAAGTAACAATGTTTTACATATTTGATATTTTTTTAGTTTAGGAGATACATTTTAGGTTTTTCTAACGTTTACCTAAGTCTATATTACTCATCTTTGTTAAAGTACTTGTACTCGTTAATATTACGGATTTAGCGACCAGTCAGTCGTAACGGATCAGTCATCAATCAGTCAACGATCAGTCATCAATCAGTCAACGATCAAAAATATTATCTTCTGAAAACAAATGATTAGTCGAAAATTGATTATGACGTCAAAATTTCTTGGTTTCTTCTGAATTTTCCTATTATGACGTCATGAAGAAAGGCGACCATGCCAGATGACGTCGCATATAAAGAAAACAACTTCCTGAAAATCTTTGAAAAAGAAGGGAAAAAAATCATTAGAGAAACAGATTCCGACACTATAAGTCGTGTATTACAATATTTCTCCACTTTGCAGTGTAGGAATCTATATTTCTTACATTGATACCAGTGGATAATCGGATTTATCTAAGCGAGAGAGTTTAATTATCAATTTTAAAGTCGGAGCCTCGAGATTGGATAAATCCGATAATCCACGAGTAACTATTACGAATCAGTTTCTCTGATGATTAATAATCAATTTACATTTTTTTTATAAACGAAAATCCCCTTCGAGTGTCTTCCATATTCCACAAAGTTGTCAATTTCATTAACACTTGCATATTTTGATTCATCCAGTGAGCTGATAAAGGTTATAACCATTAACTCTTCCTATCATCTTCTGAGATCATCGTAAACCACACGTTGATTATTTTTTTTATACAATGGATTTGGAAAGGGTTCGAATTGGCAAAGAATTAGAAAAAGTTTAATGTATAAATTCAAAGTCACTAAATGGCCTCTCCAATTCTTTGTACTTAAATTATT